TGTGAAGGTGTGGTATTTTGACTTTTGGAGCTATGATACAAAGGTGTGTCACTGGAGTTAAAATGAGAAAAATTGGAATAAGTTAAACCACACAATTTCTTACAGACAACTTAAAATTCATAATAACTTTAAAATACAAGTTTCTTAAAATGCAAACCTGAAAACATGATAGAAAATTTAATGCCCTATACAATTATATATTCACATTGAGCATAATATCCTCCATAACAACAATTTAACATTAATTTTTATTACTAGGAACATATGCAATCATATTAATTAATTCTAATTAAACTTATTCCTGAAAGATCCTTGAGATACATTAAATCTTTACTACAGAAGTATAATTGACCCCAAATTATAATATATGATTTATATAATAATTAAAATCAGAAAATAAAGGAAAATTAGATATTGCAGATCAATATATCTGTTTAGTTTGCTAATATTTTAGCAAACTATGTATTTCATGTCACTGACAATCGTAGAACTCTAGAAATCACTCATATGAAGAGAAATAAACCCTAAACCCTAAAAAGTTAGAATCGGGAAATTATCTATTCAGTATCCATATTTATTTAAGCTGTTAATGACTGAATATCATTGTTAAAGCTGGTGAGTTAGAGGCTTACATGAATTTGTGTTGCAGTCTCAGTTATTTTCTTATTTTATTGATTGCTAAAGTCTACACTATATAAATTCTTTCAAAGGTCAATCAGGTTGGCAGCTTTAAGCAGAGTATCCACAAATTGGAGATTTGTATTAGCCCTCATCTGATCTGACCAGCATTGTATCACAAGACGTGTGACTGTTTTATTTTATGTTCATTTTACATTATTTTGCCAGGGTATACTTGTTGTATAGATGAATAAAAAGTTCTAGTTTTCAGTGTGTTTAAATTCAAGATTTCAGAATCAAAATATGATTCATAAGGTTAATAGAATTTGCGAAGAAAAGGTCATCCAAAGTCCTGGTGACAAATATACAGTGAGTATTTGAGAAAAGTCATTGCAAATAATTGATAACTTCATCGCTCTATGCATGTGTGTACGTATGTATGTGAGTGTGTGGGTGTGTCTTCCCCCCCAACTCTCACATCTCTTTCCTAAAAATATTTCATTTTAGCTGTGAGGAGATTTTTAGGGTAAGACTAACTCTATCTTATACTGTTATGTGAATGTTCAAGACATCCATGAAAACTTTTCATGGGACACAAAAGACAATACCCCCTCTATTATTTTATATATATACACGCAGGTATATATAATTTAAAATATCAATGTCATTTTAAACCGATAATTTTATTTATGAAGAATTGTATTGTGATTCACAACTTGTAGATTGCTGAGGTTATTTTCACAATTATAAAATGAAGTTATTTTCTGAATTATAAAATTATAAAATGAAGTTATATTTCCTATGTATTGAAATATATGTATACATATACCTATGTGTACACATAAATGTATTGGTGTATACACACACACACAAACACACACACACACACACACAAATACTGCTCTGGTGAAAGTAAAGAAAATCTTAAAGGAAAGACAAAAAGTTTAATTAGAAAATCATTATTCATATTAATTAACTTTTGAACTAATTGTAATTTATTGAACAAAAGGTAAAGAACTTTTGCAAATTTTACTTCAGAAATTTTAACTAAATAAAATGATCTTCTCTTGTCACAAATATACATGAGAATTTTTATTTAATTGATAACGTCATTCTTATAATAACACCTTGAATGAAAAAAAAAAAAAAAAAACTTTAGAAAATAGAAAAAAGGAAGCCTTCAGAATGTCTACCACTTTTTAAAGTTCTATTTACTAAGTCCTTCCTATGAAGTTAAGGTTAAAATCATTGATTTAACCTTTGGATTCACAGGATCACCATCACATTGAGACATGCATGTGTCTTTGATTTCTACCAAAACTGAAGCACACAGTGTCCTAGAATAGCCCATTACATTGGATGATGGAACATTTGTCATTTGTTTAAAACCCAAACCCTAATTATTTTCTTGTGATTCATGCAGGTTTTTCTGAAGACTTCATTGTATCACATATCCCAAGTGGAAGATTATATAATTTTCCTGTATTTCATGAGAAAAGTGAAATTTGACTAGTTTTGTAGAAGAAATAAACACTTATGCATGGACCACTTTTTAAAAGAAGGATTTTATCATTTAGCTATATTACATATATTTAAAGATGACAAAAGTATTTCTGAGTAAATGTTTCTTAAGGATAATTTCCATGTAACTGCTGAGATTTACAGAGTTCTCACATTTTCTTCCCCCATAAGGATTCTAAATCAGATTGGTGCAGAGGAAAAGCCAGCATACCCCATTTTTCTAATATTATCACTTCTCCAGATGGTCCTGAACACATCTATTCAATTCCTTTTTCCTAGAAAGTAAAGAGGTATCTTATTAGATATGTACACCCGCTACAAAAACCACCTTCCTGTTTTTACTTCTTTTTAACATATCAAGTCTCTTTCATCTCCTACCAGGCAAAAATGACAAGTAGAAACTAAGCACAGTGATTGCCTGAAACTTCATCTTGGCAACCTGAGCAATGACAGAGTTAATGGTGGATCTTTGAAAACAAGTGACCATGGGAAATTAAGGTTGGCAGGGATTTAACTCTTCATGAATCATGCTGGAATATTTTTAAGGGTAATGCAGTGGATGTTTTAACTGTGTTTGACATCTAATTAAGGAGAAACAAGAAGTAGCTTAAAAAAAATCTCTATTGTACTTTAGAAACAAAGTACTGGCAATTGGCTACCATATACTTGCTTTGGCCAAACAAATGGACATGTAGAGAAAAAAGGTAATGACAGATTAATAAAATAACAGAAAAAAAGATTCCCCGGGCCATTCCTTTTATTCTTCTTGCTGTTGTTCATTTCACAGTTTATTTTAGCAAATTATTAAGCTCTAGGTGTATCAGTGGAATTGTTATGTAGCTGTAGAGCAGTTTTTACTTAAAGGAAAGCAGAATAATTCTAATGGGTGCCACCACTAAAACAAGGCTTATAAAGACAGTATCAAACATATACACCTTGCTAATAAATACTGCTTGCTTCATCAGACAGGTTTAAAGCATATGTGCACAACAAAGGATATTCAAATTAAATGCAGTCTTTTTAACGTACAGCAAGAACAAGTGCCTCCTCTATCATGGAGAGTAACCTATTACCATGGAAATAAAATTCTTGCCAAATAAAAAAGTTTAATTCCCTATTTTTATTTTCTTTCAAAATGTATTTCACATTTAGATATATTCAAACCTAGATTTTTAAAATATATTTCATGATTTTAAGCTGTTAAACCAAAAGTATTACAAATAGCCAGTCACATCTTTGAGAACTAAAGTTGCATGTAAAACTTACTCATAGGGAACATAAACTTGGATAAAGTGGACCATCAACTTAGACTTATTTGATGTCATCTTGTCAAGGAGTGAAAACAGAAAGCAAAACTGATAAAAACACAGACACCATAATATCATATACTATGGAGATAATTTAAAGACAGTTACTAAATTAATTAAATAATTAATGCTATATGATTTTTTAAAACTTACATAAGTACAATTGCACTTCTGTTTGTTGATGTTTAAGTCTCTATTCCCAACTTGATACTCAGGAAAACATTACACCAAAAAGTAAATAAATATTCTAATTCAATGAATTTCATCTAACGAGCACTAAGTCCAAACAAACACATTACTAGGTGTTTAATTTTCTAATTCAAAGTGTGAAAATTACATCTCTCTTTCTGATTTGAGATCCTCTTTCACACTAGGGCATTCAGAAAAAGATGTTCCCCATCATATGAGAATTAAGTAATATGTTTTCTGGCATAAGGGCAAGGTAGAGTAGACAGACATCTCTACAAATACCTTCAATAATTTTTCTTTTAACTTATAGGCTAAAAACTAAGCTTAATTAGAGCTTCTCACTGCTCCACTCCCAATTTTAGAAATCTGAGAATCATAAGAAATCAACACCTTAGGGAGTAAAACTACTTGAGTTAAAGCAGTTTAATCTTTAACTCCATTTTAATAATACCTGAGTTATAGAAAGATTTACTGCGATTAAATTTATGTATATCATTTTGGGATCTACTTTAGCATTACTTTACACATCTATCTATAAGACCTATCTAAGCAAATGTAGAACAAATATTAAAAATCCTCATTAAAATAAACACATACATTAAATTGTAACCAAATAAAGCACTAATGATAAAGCTCTTTCTTCTCTCTTAAATTTATAGTTTTTAAAAGAGAAGTTTACACAACTACCTATGCAAGTAGACAGTAATGCATCTGCAGTTCTTATTGAAGTACATATAGAATTAAATAACATAATATTTCAAAGACTTTAGCTTTACATAATTAGTCAAATACAGTCTTTTGTACAATCATAACACGCTGTGGAAAAACTAGTCTGTTCCATCCAGTTTATGTTCTCTTGGCAAACCATGATCTACTGCTTATGTTAAGCATCTGATTGTCAGATTTGAACAAACTGAATATTCATGATGACGATTAACCATTTCGTGTCTAAAACTAAGAAAATGCAATTCATCATAGTAATTATAGGTAAGGCATGCACATCTACAAAGAGACCATTTTTGCATTTCTATTTTTAAGAAAATATTTTAATAGAATTAAAGTCGGAAAAATTAACAGGCATAAGATAGGATAATAAGATATACAGATCAGCGTGTACCAGGCATACAGCTCTTTTCGGCAAATGTGATTAAATGTTCTTTGTTTGCATTTAAATTGTCATATATCAAACAGAAGACATGCTTTTCACAAAAAGGGTTTAAAGCATCAAAGAAAGATACACATAATCACATAGGTTTACCGGGTTAAACTAAAGGTTTGATGATTTGGGGTTGGGAGGGAGTTCAAGGAATTAAGGGGGGGGGGGTTATTACAAAGATAACCAAATAAAAGAAAAATAAGATTTACCTTTGTAGGATAATTTCAGCCTTGGCACATTATTCTTCCCATTTTGATAGTTTGCTCTTGCTGTAAGTAATACTCCCCAGAAAAGACAGACAATCCTAGTTAACCAGCCCATGCTGCAGACGCTGTAGGTCCCTTTGCTTCTTTAGTCTTCCTTCCTGTATTGTGCGGCCAGAGAAGTTCAAACAATCTGGAAACTGGAGGTAACAGGTGATTTAGGTCAGTTTCATTCATAAATGCAGACAATCAAGACCTCATGGCAACACTAACACCTCTTCTTCTGTAACAGTCACTGAAGCACAGAAACTTCAAACCCTCCAAAAAGAAAAAAAAAAAAAAAA